TGGCAGCCGTGGTGGGAAGGTGGCTGGAGCCTCTAAGGAGTCTGTCCACATACAACCCAGGAATTTCCACACATTTCCAACTTCAAGGGGCCTGCTGTCTGGAGTCTGTTGTCCTGGGTGTTGATGTATGGTGCACAGTCCCAACATCCCTAGGGACGCAAGGATGGTGACAATAAGGAGCTAACCACTGGGCAGCTCCCAGACATGGGAAGGCTTAGCTGTACAGCTTTTCCAGGGAATAGCTGCTATTTTAGTGTTTCTCTTTGAGAAACGGTGAAAACACTTCACAGTGCAAGGTGGCTGGACTTGCTAATCACTACTCTTGGTTAAAGAGTCACCATTGGGCTGGAGAGATGGCTCAGTGGTTAAGAGCACCGACTGCTCTTCCAGAGGTCCTGAGTTCAATTCTCAGCAACCACATGGTGGCTCACAACCACTTGTAATGAGATCTGGTGCCTTCTGGCCTGCAGGGACACATGCAGGCAGAATATTATATACATAATAAATAAGTAAATCTTTAAAAAAAAATAGTCACCATTATACACAGGATTGGGCCCATCAATATTCTGTCATGGAGTGGGGGATGGGGATAAGGGAGAAACTTACAAGACTCCACCCCTCCCTGAGGAGCTGTTCGCAGTGAGCAGTTGCTGGGGAGGGGAAAAATGAAGGGGATCAGCAGGAGCAGGCAGGGGACAAGACAAGAGAAGGTAGTGAGGGGTGAACATGACCAAATCATACATGTTCGCAAAAAAAAAAAAAAAATGAAGTTAGTATATGCTAACAAAAATCCTCACCGGTACATGCACCCCCACGGAGACAGGCAAATGGCCAGTCAGCCCTCACCAAGCTGAACTTCTTCAATAGCAGTATCTCAGCACTTGGTTGGGTTCGTGCTGAGTGTTCCACCATGCCCCCATTCCGTGTGAGTGTGGAAGGCTTGGACATGTGTGAGCTGGGGGGGGGGGCATTGTTAGCAAAGAAGTTGACTGGGAGGGGAGGACCGGCCTCAAGATGAGTTGCAAACCTCTATCCCACCTTGAGCACCACTGTAGCTACCTTTGCTCTCCCCCACCGGCTAATCAGAAAGGTTCTTTCCCGAATGGTCCGTGATGGGTATTTGATCCCAGTGAACAAGGGTGGTGGCATCTGCAGTCTGCACCACACCTCTCCTCTGGCTCATCCGAGGCCCCCACCGTCTTCCCTCAAACTCCTGAGTCCCAACATTAACCATCCACCCATTCAAGGGAGCCCAGAAGTACAGAGCTGAAGAACCCTTGGGAACAAATGGAATGCAGCACCAAGGGCACTCCCCCAGTCCAGGGAGCTTGTGTTGACAAGCGCAGTTCACTGTGATGGCCACATCGAAGGGGGAGATGTGGTGAGCACTCACACCCCCCAAACCACCCATGACACCCAGGCAGGTGTGAATGTCAGTCAGACCTGAGGAAGAGGGAGGACATGGAGAGTAACGAAAAGGCTTATGGCCTATTTCACTCCAGAAATTTCCACAGAGTAAACACCCCTCACCCCAGGCCTGCTCTTCCCTACCCCTGATGTGAACATAGAGGGCTGATCCCACTGGGGTTGAAATCCGCCAGGGAAGGCTTTTTGGAGGCAAGATTTTAGTACCATGCCTGGAGAAAGAAGGGGTGCAGTGGAGAATGCCTGTAATGCTACTTGTTGGGATGGGTGCCCTTGTGAAATCACTGAAGACACCAGCTGGAGCAAGGTGAGCAGTCCTGAAATGTGGTGGTTACCACTGGAGCCCCAGCACGGATGGTGTTCTGAAGTGTGGCTCTTGGAGGGCCAGAAAGTGTGGATGTGGAATTGAAGTGTGAGCCATGTGACTTTTGCCTCTCTGTAGAGGCTGGCACAGATGTAAAGCAGAAAGAATCTCCAGAAAGTGCCAGGGAGAAGGTGCAGGCAGAACCACCTGAGGGAACCAGTCAGGAGCAACTTCCAGGCCACACTGGGGGCCTCTTGTCGCTTTCGGCCCTCTTGGCATTTAAGCCTGGTGTAACGGGAGGGTGGGGGCTGGAAGAGCAAGTCTGTGCTCTCCTGTAAGCAGGGGCTGAAGGTGTAAGAGCAGCCCAGACCCAGGCCAGAGACTCCCTCGAAGACAAAGGGCACCCAGGCTCACCACACAGAATCACCAGACGCTGCTGTTTGACTCGTATTATATTTATTTTTTTCTTCTTAAAAATGTACAAAAAATAAAATAACATATTTATAGTTTATAGATTCCCCCTTTCCCATTTACAAAACTATTAAGTTACATTTACTCTTTTTTAGGTGGGAGCAGACTGTACACACATCCATCTCCCCTTGCCTGTCTTTCAGAAAGGGCCAGTCTCAGAATTTGGCACAAATCCCCCTTTCCTGTTGCATTTTCATGACTGTTAATACGAAGGGAAGTAAATGTTTTAACTCATCTCATGCTTCCCAGGTCTCTGCGTTAGGACATGCCTTAGTCTTTTAGGAACTGATTTCCATGACAGCCCCCTGTGTACCTCTCTGCTGGTTCCAATTTCTAAATACCGGGGAAGTTTCAACAATGTGAGGACACGGAAGGAAACGCTTTCTGGCTTCGTGCGTGCCCCATCTTCTATGGATTAAAAACAACGACAGAAAGTTTTTTATTGGGGTGAGATTAATTCAGGGACAAAGTCGAGGCAAGCTTTTCTAGCTTGCTGGAGTGTTTTGTTCAGAAAAGGATGCTCAGCAAAGCTCTGCTGGCACAGCAGATGCCCCCGATGGACGCTCCAGGACCTGACACTGTAACACTCTCTCGCGGCACCGGCTTTTATCCCTTGTTCCGGCAATGCCTATCACGAGCATTGCTTAGGGGTTCAGGACAAAGGCAAAGCCAAGCCATCTCTGGCTTGTCTTCGGCCTTCCAGCAGACCAGCAGTCTCCCAGAGACTGGAGAGAAGAGCTGGTAGCCAGTGGGGTTGCTGCACATCTGTCTTCTCCCTCCTCTGGAGCTCTGCACCCACACATAAGGTCCACCACCATGTGTTGAGCTAACCCCAAGTGTTGGAGAGCATAGATCAGAGATCCACCGGCAGCGCCCTTGGGAGGGTCCCCAAGCTGCTGGTACAAGGATTGGCGTTTAGAGTGGCGGAGAGGACTGGAACAGAGCTGAGCACAGGATGCAAGCCTTTGGCCACACAAAGGATAAGGAGTGCCGGGGCTCTCAGAAAGGCGTCCCTGCTGTCCCTTAGGATCCTCTTCCTTATGGCACCTACTCTCCATCCCATCCAACTTCTTTGTCGCTTTGGAGAGCAATGGCTGGTCTAGAGTCAGCCTCGGGGGCAGGGGGGACAAGAAAGCAGGAGCCAACAACTGAGCCCCCAGGTAAGACATCAAAGTGCTTCCCAGGCAGATCTGGACCTTTCCATGGAAGCCGTCCCATTATCCAGGCCTGGGAGTGGGAAAGGCATGGCTTCTCAAACTAGTGCTCAGCCCACGGGGGCACAGACAAGTCCCTAAGCTGCTGGCCTGTCCTCTCAGAGAGAAGAGCAGCCCACGGGGGCACAGACAAGTCCCTAAGCTGCTGGCCTGTCCTCTCAGAGAGAAGAGCAGCCCACGGTGGGGCACAGACAAGTCCCTAAGCTGCTGGCCTG